CAGAGATGTGCAGTGGGGTACTACTGAGATCTTTTACATAAATAAAAGTACCAATACCACGCTGTGACTGACCTGCACTGAAAACGATATCTCAAGTAAGGTTTGTAAGTATAATCAGAAAAATGTATTATATTATTAGAAGTAAAACTACTCAGTGCAGAAATGGCCGTCTGTGACTGGTATACTTTAATACAGTATAAAATCAAATTATAAATTCAATAGATTAAATTATTATGCATGTAAAAGCAGGATTTTACTCTAGTAGTAACCCTCAGTATCAAGAATCTTAAAATACAGACAAATATTTCCGCCAACTATGAGATTGGCTGTACACTTTGCTGCTCTTGCATATTGTCATAGACCATGTATATGAATATGTACTGAAATGTCTGACAATAGTAGTTACACACCATCTGATATTTAAATCAGTGATCAAGATCAAGCTTGTGACTCTGACAACAACAAAGCCAGTGATCAGCAGGAAGCAGATTGCTAGTAAACATGTTTAAAAGTCTGAATAATGCATTTGTGATGTGGCTGTGAGCTACCACACTGGACATTTACTAAACTTCTCTTCTACACAATTAAGTCTGGTTAGATAAAAAACTGATGACCCATGCAAGAATTTGACCACTAGTCTACTTCTGTCTGTTAAGACACAGCTAAAGGTTAACTTCCACTTTGCTCTCCGTTTCAAGTATTATCATACATCAACACCAGTCAGCACACAAACAACACCTACCAACAAACTGGTGCACCTGGACATGATCTCTGGAACCAAAATTATACCAACAGATGGACCACAGCTGCGTCAAAAGCTTTCATTATTGTTTTTCTCACATTGAAGACTTTAAATTTAAAATTTTGACTTGCAAAAGCCAAAATCATGTTTCCAAGCTAATTATTTAGTCCAAATGATTCCCCACACAGACCTCTAACTATATTTTCTATAAATAATGAAGTAATTTACTCAAGTAGAAATTGTAACATACATTCAAAATTATACTTACAGTTTGGAACCATTGCTAAAGGTGTCCCTAAAGGATCAACATTTAAGGTGTGGTGGTACACAAAACTTTTTGGTACAGCAGAGAAAACTAAAGAAAACCATAAAAAGATATTTGTCACGTTTTCAAAAATAACAGGGTCTCATTGGCTTTAATCTTGATCATCACAGTTCAAATGCTGCATATTGTCAACAAATGTATATCAATATATATATTCCCTTCTGGGATAAATAAAGTATTTTTCATTTCATTTTTCATTTCACTTCAAATAGTGCAATGCTAGATGACTGATTGACTTATGCAGTGTGATTTACGATATCGTTCAACGTCTGACTAACTGCACTAGCTTCCCTGACAAACTTGACACAACTGTTAGAGTGTTGGTGTGCTCCCAAAACCTTCCAGGTGGAAGCTGTGCTCTACAGGTTCTGTTGTGGGAGGCAGGTACAACGTAAATTGATTTCTGACAGTAATTGGCTGAACCTTGTCCTCCTTTAGCTCTCAGTATATATATATATATATATAACATACACATGTGGTCACTGCAACAGAGAAGAAACAACAACATTAAACTATGAAACTGCTAAATGTGGGCAAAGTTGATTACAAGCAGCAAACAAATGTCCAACAACACGAAGACAAAGCACCACTTCTCGAGTATGCTAGAAGTTAAAAGACCAAGTATTTCAGCTCATTGCAGGGAGGCATACGACTGGCTCCTTTTAAAGCTAAGTAACTATTCATTCATTATTTAATCATATATTATCAGAACATTTAATTTATATATTTATATATATATAGTATTTTCTCTACATTCATTTAGGAATGGCGGGCAGCTGTGTACAGCAGCCTGACGGGAATCAGTAGAAGAAGAAGCCGTTGCTTGGAAGGAAACAGTCCGACGGGAATGGAAGTGGACGGGACGCACAGGCAGTACCTGGCTGCTAACGCCAGTTTAAGATAGGTCACAGTTCTGCTTCTACCATTGCCGGCGGTAAATATTCAGATATCAGAATTGCTATCTGGATACCACGACCAACGAGTCGAGAGGGAGACACACTGTGACCAGCCCGTATCCAGGAGAGCTTCAAGGTGAAGTCACCAAGTCAGTAACACGACATCTGGAAAACAGACAGCCCAACCTCTACAATGACATGAAACAGTTTTGTAAATAATATAAATAGTGTATTACTACACATACGTTCGGTTGCACCAACAAAATAGTGCTTATTTCATTAAAAAAAAAATCTCCGCTAGCATTAAGCTGAAGCTAACGCTAGCTGAAGCTAACGCTAGCTAAAGCTAACGGCTAGCTACAGCTAACGGCTTGCTGCTGTAGCCGTGTATATATATACTGACATCCATCGCGGCTCTTTTAGCGTGTTTTCCTCCCTTCCCTTCCTCCTTCCTTTACTCTGTGGTATTAAAATTGGTATCGAGTAACGAGTTTTTTTTTCCCAGTATCGAAATAGAGTTAAAAATTTTAGTATCATGACAACCCTAATATATACACTATATATATATATATATATATATAGTGTATGAACTCTATGCTTACAGGAAGGGCACTGTGTGCTGGTCCCAACGTATGACAAAAGATTTAGTATTTGGAAAAAAAAATACAAATCTGTAAAGTCTGAGTCTTCATCAGGCAAATGACAAACATGATGAAGCTAGATGTTCTGAAATATTCAAGGGCATATTTGTGTGCCTTCAACAGCTGTTTTTGCTCAGACTTACACTTTTGTGGTGGCATCTTGTGTCATAATGTTACACTTTACATTTTTAGGGTCCAAGGACCCTATTGTTCCTGTAGTGTTTCTTTCCTTCTTTCCTTCTTTCCTTCTTCTTCTTCTTATTCGCCTGATCAACACGAAACCCTTAATTTGACCCCCTAAACACGCTCAAAAACTCCCCAAAATTGGCATACACGTCCGAATCGGCGAAAAATTTGATAAAATGAAAAAAACAAACACGAAAAGCTCTGTAGCGCCACCTAGTTACAAAAAAACACTAAAACGGCCCTAGCGCCCAGTAGGAATGTTGTACAGAGATCAAACCAACATCAAAACGTCTCAATGAGACCAACAAATCTCGCGCTGACACCCCTGACCTATCTCAAACAGGAAGTCCACAATTTGCCTTTCAAAGTAAAAAACATCTTTAGGGAAAAACTTATTTTGTCTGACACCGTAAATCATATCAGCTTGAAACTCGAACAGGAGACAGAGAAGGCCTTGATGTACAATAGTTCTGAAGGGATTTCGCGTTTCTCAAACGGTTTCCGAATGGCGCGCCGTTAAATTTGATGAGCTGTCTATGGCACATGTGCAGACATGCTGTGACATTTACTCATCTACACAAAAAACTAAAGGTCCTACAGCTTTAAAAATGACACTGAGGGCTTCCTAACAAGAATTCCCACAAAAATATGTTGTTTTTACACATATTTGGTGAAAACTGTGGCAGTATGGGAGAGAGAAAGCACCACCTAGTTACAGAAAAACAAACTAGAACGGCCCTAGCGCCCAGTAGGAATGTCATACAGAGATCAAAACAACACCAAAACGTTCGTCTCAATGAGACCCACAAATCTCGCACTGACACCCCTGACCTATCTCAAACAGGAAGTCGACAATTTGCCTTTCAAAG